AAAAAAAAAAAAAAAAAAAAAAAAAAAAAAAAAAAAAAAAAAAAAAAAAAAAGCAAAAAGAACCTCCAAGAAAATGCGTCATCTTTATCTTCTATCTAATTGACACTTATTTTTCGTTCACTATATTCCAAAACATTTTCTTGTCCGATTCAGAAGTGAATATAAGTTCAAATTTACGTTTTGGCATACATTTGATTGAAGTTATAATACGTGGTTTTTGAGTCAAACTCCAATACACACACATTAAAGGATAGAAGATGAAAAATGACGTTATAAAGAAGATCGAATTCCTCTAAAAGGTTATTAATCATGATGAAAATGGTTCCAATTAACATGTGCCGTGGGCCAGAAGAATTATCAATAAAACTATTAGGAGACGCTTAGTTCATGAATTAGAATCATAAGATTAAAATTATTTTCAATTTACGTGTATTTTTTTGAGAGAAAGTACTGTAACGAATCATGAACCATAATTCGAATCAGGGTATGAATTCTCTTACCCAACACACCCTTAGACTCGCCTATTAAAAAATACGCGTGATAACTGATTTTTAATTTAATATTAACGCAACGTACGTCAGGATATGCTTAGTTTCCTATATCATAAAAAAAAAAAGAAGAATACAAATAACCGACGTAACAAATAGGCAAGTATAGGCAACAAAAAATAGCTATTTTTGAGTAAAGTTATATGTTAGCTTGTGATCAAGTAAATAATCCATTTTCTATCTTATTAATTAATAGTATGAGGTATTGTGTGAGTATTTAATTTCTAATCCACTAGAAAGAATCAACTGTGTTATTTTATTTATGTTCCTTTTAATAATATTACGACACATCAATTAAAATGTCATATTAATTAAAAGATTTTTATCACGTTATTAAAAAATTATGCGTGATATGTTATTATTATAAAATACAAAAGGGAACAGAAAAGGGGAGCATATGAACCTATTCCCCGTTGGTATATAATAAGTGAAAAGGAAATGGAAAAAAAGACTAATTAAGAAAATAACTTGTAAAGGTCGTTTGAAAAAGGATCACATTATTATAAAAGAAAAAGCGTGCCTTATTTATAGTCCTATCTTAATACTAAAATCAAGAAGAAGGAAACTTTTTATTTCTTTCTTTTCTTTCTTTTCTCTATGTTAATGTAACCTTCTAGATCTTATTTTGAGATTATGAGTCTCTCCGATTTATATAATTCTAGACAGTAGGTGAAATAATTGGAACCACTAAAAAAAAAAGATTTATAGCTAGACTTCAACTGTTGTAATAATCCTAATCTATATGAAAGAGAAACAAGAAGGAAAATAAGTAAAAAATGGAAAAGGCAAAAGAAGGAAAGAAGTCATTAATTCTTTATTTATTACCTCTCATGAAACTGCTGCACTCCATACCATACCCTGCAAACCACCATGAATGCGAGTGCAATTATTAACTTCAACCACACCCCACGGAAGAAGAAAGAAAAGAAAAAAGAAAAAAAAAAAAAACACAAAGGAAAAAAGAGAGAAGAAAGAAAATATTACCATGACAAAGAAAAACCAGAGCTTTTGGAGAAGAAAAAGGCAACCATCTGCACGTAAAAAGCTGCACTCCCCTTGAGTTCCTAATGTAATCCTTCTCTCATTCAACGCACAATATATAATATCACAATTTATCAGCAACAAAAAAAAAAAAAAGAAAAAAAAAACACGACGATAACAACATAACGCAAAAATATAAACAAATATAGAGAAAATCAATATATATATATATATATATATATATATAAATTGACGGCTTACCTCTTGATATTCAACCTCCATAGCTTGTATATATATATATATATATGTATGTATGTCTATGATATTGCAGCGATTGATAAAGAGCAAGAATACGAGTATATATATTAGCTAGGAAACCAAAATGGACTGGAACATAGTTTCATTGAAAGAGAGTTTCTTAAATCGGTCACGGGTGATGAATGTTTGTACGTTATGGGGTCAAAGAGAGAACTTTATTTGGGTAGCATAGATTGGAAGAAACTTCCCGAGAAAAAAGAATAGACAGAGAAAAGGAAAGTTTGGAGAGAGAAGGGTGAATGTGAGGTCTATTATTGAGATGATAGGTTGAGATAGGTTTTCGATCGAAAGAAAAGAAGTTCCAAATCTGATGAGGTGGTGGTGCTCCAAAATTAGGTGCCCATGCCGTATACCAGAGTTCTTCTGTTTTTTTTTTTTTTTTTTTTTTTTTTTTTTTTTTTTTTTTTTTTAATAATCGATAGGGTCTTCTGGCTTTTCTGATTCCTGATCCTGCCCCCCTCACCCTCAGCCTCCACCACTCTCGGTCCACATCACAAATCCCAATATATATATATATAATAGTTTTCCATGATATTGTTTGTTTTTTGAAATACAGGATAATACATATAAATTTTATATAAAGATTTTGCACAATTCCCCCCAAATTTATCGTGATTTAACAGATTGCCCTCTAAACTTTTAATTCTGATAAATAACTCCCCCAACTTGTAAATTTATTACAATTTGCCATATTTAATTAAATTTGCTTAAATTTTTTTATTAGATTTAAGGGATTAAAAGTTGAGATATTAAAAAATTTGTGTTACATTTGAATTGAAATGTTAAATTTTTTGGCTAAATGTGGGTTTTTGATACTAATTTAACACAATCTCATCAAAATTGGGCATATTACAATAACTTTACATTTTGAGGGGGCAACTTGTCAAAAGTAAAAGTTTATATGGTAATTTACTAAACCACGACAAGTTTAAGAGACAAATGTGCTAAAAATCCTTTATATAATACATTGAGAATTTCTTCCTTAAAGTTTCTCTTTATCATTGAAGTCAATTTTTAATTGTTGAATTTGATTAAAATTACATTAAATTAATAAATATGTAAACATATAGTTTTTAATATAAATTTAACGATTGAAAATATGATTTTTTAATATAAACTCTCGAGAATAGAAACTTTTATCAAAGAAGACTCTACAATAAAATTATGAAACAAACAAACTATGAGTATTAGGTGATTATTAAATTCATGTAGACCAATGAAATTTTTGTTGTTATTCTTGCGTAATTTCCAATTTTGGTTTTTTTTTTTCGTTTTCAGTTTATTTATTGGATGTTTGAAACCTAGATAAACAACAACTTATCTAATTGCAAAATAATATTGCGTTTTGTAAAAGACATATAGTTGATTTGAACCTATTTAGGGTCTATTTTAAGGTGAAAATATGAATTACATATGTGGTTGCAATTTTGGCTTAGCATTATATTTAGAGCTTGAAACCTCCAATCCATCTCAAAAACTATACATGTGTGTCGATTATTATTCTCAAAATACAAAATTCCTTTTAGAATACCAAAATATAAAAAAGGTTTCCGTCCTCTAAAAATCTTATATGGCATGCTTATTGAAAAAATTGTTATATAACATGAACCTATTTTTTAAAGTTTTTATAAGACCACAAAAAACTTACGGTGAGCTGATTCTAGAGTCTTCATTTTTCGTCTGTTCGTTTTCTTCTCCTTCTCATCTTAGTCTCAAATTCTCCTGTTGTAATACGATTTGTTTTTCTTTTTTATTTCACTTTTTTTTTTCGTATCAAGTGAATATATAAATATATATATATATCAACTTAAAACTCATTCTACAGTGGTAACGGATTTGGTCCATAATGATATCTATTTAGTTATAGTTTTCTATTCAAGTTTCATACTTTTGTGTGTTTTTATCCGGTTTCTTGTTTAATCTATAGATTCTAATGCGTTAAACTTTGAAGATTTTAGACCGGTGATGATTGACATCAATAACACCGTGCCAATCAAAAGCGCCTACAATGGAAGCTGAGGGCATATTGAAAGAACCAAGGATTTATTTGTTATGGAACTCGAATTCGCGTCTCTTATGAAGTTATTGTGAAAATCTTGCGTGCTAAAATCTTCAAAGTTTAACATTTAGAATCTAAAGAGATACAATTGCAATGCTTATTTCGTTGATTGATTTAAATTTTGTCTTTATTAAAAAAATTATAGCTTTTTTTCTGAATAAACTATTATCTTAACCTTTTGTCTTGGATTAAGCACATGTTTGTTATTTTTTTCTATTAAAAAAAAAGCACCCTTAGTAAATTTTTATTTTCTTGGGGATTTTGATTTTAATACCCCACAAGATAGTAAAGTCTCGTTCACTTCGAGGATTCGAGTTTTTAATTCGAGCTGAGATGTGACATTTTCTGAGAGCTTTTCACTGTAGCAGAAAAAGTTAGATGTGACATTTTCTGAGAGATTTTTACTGTAGAAATCTAAACTGAAAATTCAAATCGGTGAAATGAACGAGACCTAAATTGTTATCTTTTATTGATAGATGTAACTTTTTAATATTAACTTTTGTGACAATTTTTTAAACACACGATACGATACCAATTAATATTTTTTTTAGGGGAGAACTAATTAATATTAAGATGTAGAATCCCTAGCATTATTTTTTCTCATTAATACGAGTAATTTGTACTTTCTCTATAAACAAAAACAAGTTTATTTCTAAATAAAAATTATTAAAGTCGTCTCGACCCAACACATTCACAAATAATATGCAATATTTTCCTTAATAGGCAATTTATAAGTGGGTTTGTGCCCTTAACCCTTTTATTTATAGCAAGTTTCTAGTCACCTAGAGTTGTCAAATCGGCCGGGCCATTCATGGACGGCCCGGCCCAGCCCATAACAGTGTCAGATTCGACACGGCCTGATACGGTATTATTACGCGTCGTGCCGACTGGGCACGTTTGATGGGCTAGGGCTGGGCTGGGACGCAGCTTCTCAGCCGACGGCCTAAGCCCGTGAAGGCCTGCGGCCCGGCCCAAGCCCAGTTCGGCCCAAGTCCGGATTCGGTCCTTGTCTGGCCCGGCCCAGGCCCGCAAAACGGCCCGCCAAAAAGCCTTCCAGCTTGTGAGGATTGTGATCGTTGGGCTCGCGATGGCCAAATGGTCACAATCTGAAAAAAGCCCCTAAAATTTCCTATAATACCTTTTAATCCCACCCTAAATCTCACACAACAATTGACTCTCAACTTCTCATCTCACTCTCATTCTATCTCTCATCTTGTCTCTTCGATTTTGATTCTATGCTTTTCTCTCGCAATCACTCATTTTCTTGCTCTTTCATTTACAAAGTTTAAGTTCAATCAATTTCTAAAAAATGGCCGCATCAAACTTCCCTGATTTCATTGCTCTCTCTGAACTTGGTGACGAGCCATTTTTTGGGGATGAAATGATGCCTCTCAACCCCACTGAACTGGAAAATGCTCCGGTTGATAATGCTTCAGTGCACAACGAGAAAGTTAGAGAACGCAGCAGGGGAAAAAGACCGCGAACTTCTCCTGCATGACAGCATTTCACAGAGGAGCCCCAACCAAATCTAAAAACAAATGAAATGAAAATTCGTGCGGTATATAAGTATTGTAAAAAACACTTTTCTAATAAAAATGGTGGGGGTATTGGTCATTTGGATAGACATAGGAAAGCATGTCTACCGTTGCACCAAGGTGGGAGTGTGGACTCCCGCCAACAAACACTATCACTCATATCACAAGGGTTGCAAAATTTTACATACGATGCATAACGTGCTCGTGAGGCACTAGCTAAATTTCTAGCTAGTCCCGAATTACCTCTTTTTTGCAGATGATGCATCGTTCAAAGAATTCATATAGACGGCCTTCTGCCTGCAATTTAAACGAGTAAGTAGAAACACAACTCGTTATAATTGCATGAAAGTGTTTTACGCAATGAGACGATCTCTAGTTGATAATTTTAGGTCTTTTAATGATACTGTATCTTGTACTTCTGATCTATGGAAGAAGTGCAATAAAACTATATATTTATGTGTCACGGCGCATTATGTTGATGACGAATGAGTTTTACAAAAGAGAATAATAGGTTTTTGTTTATGTCCATGTCCTCATAATGCAAATGTTATTTTTGGAACAATAATGGAAAGTTTTGGATTTTATAGGATAGAAGATAAAGTTTTAACCATTACTTTTGATAATGCATCAGCTAACACGGCTGCAATTAACATGTTTAAATGTAGTTTGAAACCAGCATTTTAGGGAGAAATTTTTTATCAACGGTGTGCATGTCACATAATCAATTTAGTAGTTCAAATAAGAATTAAACATATTTAAGCTAATCTAACAAATATTAGAGAATCTTTATCCTTTATATCTAGTTCTGGAGCTTGGCTCCAAGAATTCAAACAATATTACAGGAACAGCCATATGTGCTCAAGAAGGTTCCCAACTGACGTGAGACATAGGTGGAATTTTCGATACAGAATGGCAGATTGGTGAGTATTTTATTAAATATTTAGAAGTTTTCTACAATGCTACTGAATTACTTTCCGGAGTTTATTATCCTACTGCACATTTAGCTTTACATCAACTATTTAATATTTCATAAACATTTTCTTATTATAGGGATACTGAACTTTTTAGAAACATAGTTAAGCTAATGGAAACCAAATTTAAAAGTTATTAGTTAGGTTGTTTTACGTTATATGTATTAGCAACCATTTTAGATCCTAGGTGCAGAGTAGATGAGACTAAATCTTTGATGAATGCTACAACAGAAAATTTAGGTATTGATATGCTACTAACTATTACTGACGCTAGGAAAATCTTAGAAAAGTTATTTAGTTTGTATGAAGCAAAATACAACACATGTAAAAAAGAACAGAGAACTTTGACATCAACTAACAGTTCGGGGCCTAAAGGCTTATCGTGGAGTTTCTTGGAGAAGAAAGAGAAAATGACAGATCGTCATCAACACAAGCGTCTACTGAACTGGTAAAATATTTTGAAGTAAATTTTGTAATCAATGACGACAAACTGGACATCTTACAGTGGTGGAAGAGCAAGACCGGTCGTTTTCCAACACTGTCCGTAATAGCTCGTGACATTCTGACAACTCCAGTGTCAACGGTAGCATCGGAGCAAGCATTTAGTGCAAGCAACCGAATTCTTGACGAGAAGAGAAGCAGAATGCATCCATATATCTTGGAGGGGCTAATGTGCGTTAAAGACTGGGAATATGCCAGAAGACGAAAACAACAATATACGGATGATTCAATGCAAGACTATTTTTCTAACTTAGAAATAACATAATCTTTTGAAAGCACTTACGTTTTGTAATTTACTTATCCTAGAATACTGCATTCTTTTTTCCTTCGCTAAGAGTTTGTCCCGATCTCCCCGCGGGTTTTACTTGGCAAGGATTTTAATAAGACAGTCATTTATGTGTACTT